ATGTTGTTTTCAAAAAATGTTCAGGATCCAGGTAGCAGTGGTGCATGCTTTTAATGCCAGCACTGAAGAACCAGAGGCAGCCTGATCTACAGAGTGAGTTCCAGGACAGTCAGGGCTACACAGAGAAACCCTGTCTTGAAAAACAAAACACAAAAAAACCCCGCAAAATAACAACAACAAAAACAGTTCAGTTGGTAGTTTGGAAAACCAGGCAGGAGCTGGATGGCGGTGGTGCATGCCTTTTATCCCAGCACTTGAGACGCAGAGGCAGCCAGATCTCTGAGAGTTGGAGGCCAGCCTGGTTTATGGAGCAAGCTCCAGAACAGTCAAGGCTACACAGACAAACCCTGTCTTGAACCCTAGCTTCCCCCTATCCCCAAGAAAAAAGAAAAAACAAAGCAGGCAATTTTAAGTTTTATGAATAGATAATGAAACTAACGAGTGGCCTGGTTTTATTCTCTTCATCAGTGGATAAAAATATGAGCCATTATTATTATTATTAATTATACTTTATAATAATATTTCTTAGAAGCCAGTTTGTTTTCTAATTGGAGATACAAAGGGGTGGGTCTTGATGGGATGGGAATTGGAGAAGAACTGGGAGTGGTTGAATAGTAAGATATTCCAAAATTTGGAATATAGCAGTATTATCAAGAAAGAACAAAAATTACCTAAAGAATCAAGGATGCAATTGATGCTGGTGTTGGAGTAATAGTCCACAAAATATGGTAAATAATATATTAAATATCCAAGTCTGGGAAGGTGTTACAGATATTACTGGAACCTATTCATGTGCTAGTAAGATGTAAAGTCAGAAGTAGTATTCATTCAAGAGTGTGAACATTTCAAAGTGAAGTCCTGGCATCATTTCAATCTTTTATAAAGCCTATGGTATGTCTCTGGGTCTTGAAGATAGAATGAAAATAAATGCCTTTAGAGATAAGGTACAGAATTTTCTAAGGCGGGGATAGTAGAAGAGTGATCAAATTTGATTACACAGTTAGGATTACTGTGGCTATGATGAAACACCATGACCAAGCAACTTGAAGATGTAAGGCTTTATTTGGCCTACATATCCTGAATCACAGACCGTTGAAAGAAGCCAAGGCAGGAGCTCAAATGAGCAGGAACGTAGAGGGATGAGCTGATGCCGAGACCATGAAGGAGTGCTGCTTACTGCCTTGTTCCTCATGGCTTGCTCAGCCTGCTTCCTTTTTTTTTACCCTCTTTTAATGAAAGTAGATTTGTTTCTCATATACTATATCCTGATTACCGTTTCCTCACCTTCTACTCTTCCCAGATCCTCTTCACTCCTCCTCCCATTTGGATCCACCCTCCTTCTGTTTCTCATTAGAAAACAAGCAGACTTCTAAAGGAATACGATAATATAATTCAGAATAGTAAACTATATGTAGTATAAAACAATTTGATAAAATAAGAACTAAAACATCGGGATAGAACAAAACAGACCGAAGGAGAAGAGCCTCCCCAAAGGGTAAAAGAAACAAGCATATATGCAGAAACTCGTTCATTTGTATGCTCAGGAATCTCATGAAGCCCTGGTGTGTGTGTGTGTGTGTGTGTGTGTGTGTGTGTGCGCGCGCAGAGACTTGTATGGTTAAAAGAGAGTTAAATAAAATATGTTAAAATATTTAAATATGTTAAATATATTTAAAATAGGTTAAATAAAATACAAATACAAATAAAAAATAATAAAATTTAAAAGAGGTGGGGGTACTGACACGACATTATAAGACAAGGAACGTCCAAAGATGCAGTTGAGTTTGTTTTCTGACCATTTACTGCTGGGCATTCAACCTATCCTTAAGAGAAGTTTGTTTCCCCAGTGAAACTCCCTTGGAGAAAACTAAATTTTCATTTTCAGCCTGCTTTTTTAGTATCCAGGACCACCACGTCAAGGGAGGCACCACCCAAAGTAGGCTGGGCCCTTCTACATCAATCACTAAGAAAATGCTCCACAGACTTGCCTACAGTCAGATCTTATGGAGGCGTTTTCTCAGTTGAGAGTCCCTACTCTCAGATGACTCTGGTTTATCTCAAGTTGGCATAAAAATAACTAGGACAACACAATGCAGCTGGAGTAACTTGTTAGGTTGGACTGTGAGGATGAAAAAGAGCTATTGATAATGTGGTGAAATAATAGTTTGAAATCTGTGATGATGGAGTAGGTATATTGATAAGGAAAGAACATTTGAAAAATTCATTTTCTCCATTCATTTTTGTTTGTTTGTTTTTTGAGACAGGGTTGCTCTGTGTACTCTTGGATGTCCTGGAGTTACTTTGTAGACCAAGCTAGCCTCAAATTCACAGAGATCTGCCTGCTTCTTTCTCCCAGAGTGCTGTGATAAGCGTGCCTAAACTTAACATTACATGTTTGCCTAGACTTCAGTAAATAAGACTATTTGATCTATGTAAGAAAGAACTTGTCTTCCACATATAACCTTCAAGGGTAAGAATTGTTAGTCTTGTCTGTTTTTGCAGTCTGATCATAAACATTGCCAGTATAGAGATGAGCAATAAATATTTTTTGAGTGAGTAAGGATTCAAAAAATGAAATATTGAGAAAGGCACCCTTATCAATTAGCCACTGGATATGAAAGCTAAAAAGAATTTCAGCCCAGACAGATTTGAATTGATTTGATGGTAATGGTCTGTTTTGTTCATGACAGTTTTGGACCAGGATTGGGTAACTAGCAAATGGTAAAAGGGGAATTCCCTCAGAGTTTCAGCTCCTTACCTCAGTACTTTTATTATGTTTTCTACTTTAAAAAGTTAAGATACGAATACAGTATATCAGAGTGCTGTGGCCTTTATTGAAATGAAGTTGCTCTTTTATTCGCCCCTAAAGTAGATAGTTCCTATAGGCTTATGAAATTGAGATTTCCCAGCATAGCATACATACTCTAGAATCTGGTCCCTTGCCCCTTTCTTCAGTCTTGCTGTTTTCTTGTGTACCTGTTCTTCATTTAAATTCATCAGATATGCATCTACTTATTGCAGTTTCTTACATGGTATGTAACATACAACTTAGAAATCAGAGGGGTTTCTCCCCCGTAAAATAGAGCTTACCTTTTTACTTTCTTCTGTGCACAGGTCTCTCTTCCTATTTTATCCATCCATATAACTGCCTTCCTCTCTGAGCCCTGCCTCCTCCAAATTATTACCTGTTAGCAATAATGCAATTTTCAGTGCATACTGCATAAGTAAAATTACGTCCATCGATTTCTTTACAGCCCAGTAATCTTTGTAAAATTGTTATTTACTGTGTTGTGTTATGATGTGCTCATATTGTAGGGCATGCACATGCATGTGGAGGTCAGAAGACAATGTTCAGGAGTTGGTTCCTCCCTTTTATTGTGGGGTCTAGGGATCAAACTAAAGTCTTCAGGTTTGCTCAAATAGCATTTTTACTTGCTGAACCATCTTGCTAGCCCAGAAAACTTGAGAGAAGAGAAATGCCACATTAAAATCTTGGAATCTCTCTTGTAGACTTAAATGTTTGTAGTACTGCATCTGTTTGTGATGGTAGGGAGCAGCAGGCTAAATTGCTCTGGGCTGAAGGGATTTCCACTGTCTGAAAGAACTGTGAAAAATTGTATTCCAATTCTATCTTTTTACTTTCAGCATCACTCTGTTCCTTTAGAATTTGTTCCTTTAGAATTTGTCATTTGACTTTATAGCTTGTGTCAATTGGAATGTTTGAGAGGATATACTGATAGTGGCCCAGCGTTTTCCTGTGGTTTCAGAGTATCCAATTAATTCTTACTTGCTAAGCACCATTTGCTGGAGAAGGAGATAATTAGGAATGCCACCAGAGAGCATGTTGATGTTCATGATCATGGCTGCTACAGGAGACAGTGATGATGTCCTTGGTCCTTGCTGCCACCAGAGGCTTTGTGAAAGTGCATGGTCCATGTCGCTATCAGAGACCATTGGAATGTCCATGATGCCTGCTGCCACTGGCATCTGTGGACAGGAAGCTTCTTTTGCAGTGATATCAATGACTGCAGACTCCTAACTATGACAACCTCCCCCCTCCAAAAAAAAAAAAAAAAAAATTCCAGGCAGGAAACTATTGAAGAGAGTCCTTTAAAATTGTGATAAAGATGCTGAAGTGTAGCTTTTCACAGTTGATGGCTTCTCTCAAGGGGAAAGACTCAGTTGTATTGAAGGGGCTGGCCACTGAGAGTTCTACTATGCTTCAGTGAGTGTATGAGCAACATAAATTGGACCGGGTGGGCTTTTGTCTTCCTTTTTTTTTTTTTTTTTTTTTTTAATTTCTTTTCTTTTTGACAGGGATGTGGGGGGTGGCAAGGCTGGGAGGGTGGACCTGGAAGGAATAGAAAGCAAGTGTGATTGGGGTGCAATGTGTGAAATTCCCAAATCATTAATAAAAATATCATATTGGTGGGGAAGAGGATCTATAATGAGAAAGTATTTTTAAATACTGTCTCTGTGTGTGTCTGTGTGTGCTCATCTGCATGCACATAGGCATATTCGGAGCCATACAAATGGAATCGTCCATTTCAAGTAAGTAGAGCAATGATTGTTTGCTGCCGAAGTCTAAGAGACTTGATATGCCTACAACTTTTATGAAAAAATAGAATTGTATAGAAGAGACACCTACTTATCCTTAATGCAATGTAATACTTCATGTACATATTTTGTCTTATGTTAAACTTGTGGTTTGGAAAGTAAATTACTCTTTGACCAGAAAATTGAGAAATACCATTTTTTTAAATTATCATTTAAGGACCATGTAGATACAACATACAAGTTTACCAAAATATAAACTAATGCCATATATACATTTTTTTCCATTTGAAAGTATTTGTAGTATTTTCATATTTACTTTGTAACTTGTAGCTTAAAACTGGTCTTAGATTATAAAGAAGTTGTATTCAAAGACTGAACTCATATTTTTCTTTTATAAGTGTCAGCAAAGTCCAGATCCAATGTGTCTCTCTTTTATTTTATAGGCCTATGAAGAGTACACCAGCAAACTAGATGCCCTCCAGCAAAGAGAGCAACAGCTTTTGGAATCCCTGGGGAATGGAACTGATTTTTCTGTTTCTAGCTCAGCATCAATGGACACCGTTACATCCTCCTCCTCTTCCAGCCTTTCAGTGCTACCTTCATCTCTTTCAGTTTTTCAAACTCCCACAGATGTATCACGAAACAACCCCAAGTCACCACAAAAACCTATCGTTAGAGTCTTCCTGCCCAACAAACAGAGGACAGTGGTGAGTCAGTGTTAATTGTCATCATTCTTCTTTTTTTGTGTGTTAAATTATCATTGTCATCATTCTTCTTTTTTTGTGTGTTAAATTATCATTGCATATTGAGGGCCATGCATTTCAAACCATTTCAAACAAGGATAAAAAAAATAATTGGTTTGTATCAAGTCTATATAGCTACCAGATTTCTCTTTTAACATTTTGTTTTTTGTTTTGTTTTTTGTATGTGTGTGTATGTTTCCTAGACATGGTTTCGTGTAGCCTTGGCTAGTCCAGAACTCCATATATAGACCAGGCTGGCCTCTGACTGACAGAGATCTGCCTCTCAAAAGCTGGGATGCCACCATGCCTGACAGTCTATCAGACTTCATTGGCACTTAAATATAAATACCAGTTAAGAGTCAGTCAACATGAACTGACTGGCCTGCTCTTTCATCACCTCTCCCTGAGGGTCGTGCAGACTTACTAGGCCACAGAGGAAGACAATGCAACCACTCCTGATAAAGCCTGATAGACTAGGATCAGAAGGAGAGGAAGACCTCCCCTATCAGTGGACTTGGGGAAGGGCGTGGGTGGGGAATGGGAGGGAGAGTGGGATTGGGAGGGGAAGAGGGAGGGAGCTACAGGGCGGATACAAAGTGAATAAAAACTAATTAATAAAAATTTTAAAAATACAAAAAAAAAAAAAAAGTCAGGAAGCTGGGCTGCATGGCGCATACCTGTAATCCCAGCACTCAAGGAGGCAGAGGCAGGCGGATCTCTCTGAGTTTGAGGCCAGCCTGGTGTACAAAGCCAGTCCAGGACAGGCAACCCTGTCTCAAAACAAATAAACAGTCAGTCAGGAGACTGAAGAGATGGCTCAGTAGATAAGAGCACTGGCTGCTTTTTCGGAAGACCTGGGTTTGGCTCCCTATGCTCTTCTTTTTTTTTTTTTTTTTTTTTTTCTTTATGTAGAGTCTCTTATTTACCACCTTATTTCTTTTTTTTTAATTAAAAATTTTTTTACATTAACTACATTTTATTCGCTTTGTATCCCAGCTGTAGCCCTCTCCCTCATTCCCTCCCAATCTCACCCTCCCTCCCTCATCTTCCATGCCCCTCTCTAAGTCTACTGATTAGGGGAGGTCCTCCTCTCCTTCCATCTGACCCTAGCTTATCAGGTCTCATCAGGACTGGCTGCAATGTTCTCATCTGTGGCCTGGCAAGGCTGCACCTTCCTCCTGTCAGAGACAGTCCCTGTTCCCCTTACTAGGGAATCCAGCTTGGATACTGAGTTGCCATGAACTACATCTGAGCAGGGGTTCTTGGTTATATCCATGAATGGTCCTTTGTTGGAGTATCAGTCTCAGAAAAGACCCCTGTTCCCAGATATTTTGGTTCTGTTGCTCTCTCCTCTCCAGGCCTTAACTAACTCCCCTTCTTTCATAAGATTCCCTACACTCTGCCCAAAGTTTGGTTATGAGTCTCAGCATCTGCTTTGATACACTGCTGGCTCCCTACACTCTTATGCTGGATCACAACCATCTGTAATTTCATTTTGAGGGAATATGATGTCCTCTTCTGGCCTCCAAGAATACCAGGTACACATGTGACAGGCAAAAAATGGATAAATCTTTTTTTTTTTTTTAAGAGGTGATCAGAATTTCAGGATTTAAGCTTGTATCAGAAAAAATTCTTTCCTCTGAGTAATCTCCAGTCTTAGTTATCACAAGTTAACTTTCAGTGTACTGATATTTTTCCTCTTATTCACACAACTCTTTTAAAATTGTTATAAGTATCATCATTAGGAACAATGTACCTGTAAGAAGCATTTGAAACAGAAATCTGCTGAGTTATAATAGATAATCTATAGTTTTCAAGTAAAGCAAATATTGCCAGCCTTAATAAATAATATTCCTGTAACTTAAACCAGTAATTTTTTAATGTATATAGTTGCTTTTCTAATATGTAAATTATTTTATTTATGTATATTACATACATAAATATATAATTTATATTATATATTTATGTATATAAATTACATACATATATATGTAATTTACAT